AAGATCACAGCCCTTCAGGGCACTGTTTGGGGAAGCTCACAACCTCCTCTCCTCTCCTCAGGAGATTCGCAGACATTGAAGCGGCCACACGTCAGCTTGCCTCCTCCATTCTGTCTCAGCAGCCCCATGCAGCCCCCACACCTCCTACCCCTGAGGAGCCCCAGCGTCCTGGCCCCATGTCCCCTCCTGGTTCCTTCCTGGGTGTGGCAGAAGCCTTCACGGCCCCAGAGCCAGGGCCCAACTGGGCTGTTGCCCTGGATACACTGAGCCCTGACCCTGGTGACCTCTTTGACACCATTGCCCCCAGCCCTGGTGAGACCCTCCATGGCCCTCCCCTGCCCAATTCCCTGTCCCAGGCACCGAGGGGTGAGGGGCACTCTGGACCCCTATCTGGGACCTGCACAGCCTGGACAGCTCCTCCCTGTGGGCTGTATGTCCCCCTGGCTATGTCCCCCATGTGCCCTGCTACCCTCCAGGATACCCAGGTGGGGGCTGGTAACTATGGTGACTTGCCCCCCCTTCCTTCCTCATGGGGAGGAGAGGAGCCCCTGAGCATCCTGAAAGCAGGCCCAGGCAGGAGTCCTGGGGGGCAGGAATGGGGGTACTAGAGCTAATAGGATCAACAGGGGGGCAGGTTCTCGGGCTTTCTGCTCTTAGGGGTCTGCTGACCACGAGGCCATGCCTGGGGCTTTGCAATGGTCTCAGGGGCTGCCTGACTTTGGAAGCTGATCCCTGGTGGGGGAGGGCTTGCCTTGTGTGTCTGCTCAGGGCCAGGTCCTTCTGCTGGGGCTGGGGTTGGGACACAGTGTCTGTGATGTGACTGAGGCTGCAGGAATTGAGGAGAGCCCCAGTATCACCCTGATGCTCATGGGTTAGGGATGGCCCTTTCCCCCAAGTGCCTCTCCTAAACACACCCACTTGATCTGAGACAGAGGTGTGGGGGGCTGTTAATACTCCAACCATCTGTGACCCCCACAGCCCTGTACCCCTAGCCCCCATGTCCTCTATACCTGCATATTTTCCCCCATACATACCTGTGGCAAAGCAGCCTGAGTCCAATAAACACAAGGAAATGCACTGAACCAGGGCTCATGGAGGTTTGTTCCTGACACAGAATCTGCCCCCCTCCCACAGGTGGTCCCATCTCAGTGCTGAGGGGGGCCTTATAGAACTGGCCCTGACACACCTGTATGCGTGACCAGGGCGAGCTGGGTTTATTGCAATCAGTGGGTACACACTTAAGGGTTACAGGATGCCAAACCCAGCAGGCAGTGACTTCATGGGGCTCTCCTCACCATCCAGGCCCAGAAAGGATCGGAGGGGCCACAACACCCTCATAGGAATCAACACTAAGAGTGGAGTCAGCTCTAAGGTGCTGCCTTGGGGGCCCCACACTCAGGTTCATATGTGAATGGTGGGGATGAGCAATTTAGGGAACCCCACTCTCTGCAGGGAATCCCCTGGAGAGAACCCAGATGTCCTGGCTCAACCCCTGTTCAAACTCACCAGACCCTACTCCCCCTCCCAGAGCTGGGAGAAAAAAACTTGTCCAGGATCCCAGCCCTGCCCCTGCTCAGCTCCACCAGATCCCACTCCCTTCCTATACTTGGGAACAGAACCCAGGCATCCTGGCTTGCTGCCCCTGCTCTAGTTGTGGCTCTGTGCTCCTGTGTGGCAGCTCCCTGGGGTGAGGAATCAGCGTGGGGGTGAGGGAGTCACTGGTTGTCCCAGGGGAAGGTGACGTCCAGACCTTGCATCCGCTCCTGGTACACGCAGTCGAAGCGCTCACTCTGAGAAGCCGTGAGGTGGTTTTTCCAGTCCCCCGAGATCCCTGAAGAGCCAACACAGCATTGGGGGCCAGCAATCAGCACCATGCAGCTTGGCGTCCCTGCCATGTTGTCACCCACAGGCTTGGCCCCACTGTGCCTGTCAGCCACAGGCTCCTCCGGCTGAGCCCCTCCCCTGCAACCCCCACCTTGCTGGATCCTTTCACCACAGACCCTGCTGTGCTTCTCCCACCCTGCCCCCTCACCCTGCCAGTGCCCCTCACCCCCAATGTCCAGCTCCCTGCTCTCCCAGCCCTGCTTTTTGCTGTGTCCCTCATCCCTACGTGGGAGCCCCTGGCGCCTCATCTGTGGTGTCCCTGCCTTGCTCTGTCCCCCACATCCCACCCCGCCACAGCACCTTTGCGCAGGAAGGAGCTATTCTTGTTCAGTATGAAGCTAGGTGCCGTGCTGAAGTTGCTCATCTTGTTCTTCCTCATAGCCTGGAAGGAGGCATTGGCCACTACCGAGTCTAGTGCCTGCTCATCCAGCTGTTTGCCCAGGAACTGGCAGATCTGTTCTACGCTGCCTCGCAGGTCCTGGCATAGGGGATATTTCAGGGATGGGCTTCAACCCCAAAGCAAGGAAAAGCCAGGCCAGACACCAGGGTAGGGGCTCTGGGATGAGAGGAGGGTTATGGAGAATAGAGGTTCTTGCAAAAGCTTCACTTTTCAGGGATCAGAATGTAGAATGGGGAGACCTAGGGGTCATACAACCCCCCCTCCCCTTCCCTGGGCACACCTTGGAGATAGCAAGGAATCTGCGGGGCACCCACTTCTGGGCTCCCCTCCTCTCCAGCCCAGCACCTCCACTGTGACCCTCTCCCACACCCTGGGCTCCCCCAATTTCTCCCCACTAGGGTTCCAGTCCTCTCCCTGGGAACTTCCCCTCCAGCCCCCCAGGATATCCCCCCAACTTGCACCTGCAACAGCTCCTCATAGGTGATGTAGAAAAAGTTCTCATGGCCCTGCAGCCCCATCCAGCCCCGTACGTGGTCAAACCAGGATCCAAACGGCACTAGAGGGTGGAAAGCAGGAGTCACAGGGTGGGCCGGGTCAGTGGGCCTCCCCTGCCATCCCCCAGCACTCACCATCCCCTTTGAGGAACTCCTCCAAGAACTGGTCCAGGGACCCAGGGTCCTTAAAGGGGTGGAACATCTGGGCAAAGTGGTATAGGGAGACCAGTACATCCTTGGGGTTCCTTATCGTGTAGATGACCTGTGGAGGGAAAGGGGACATGACAGGGACTCCCACTGTAGGGCATTCTGGGAGAGCGTCCATGGGGTTCCAATTCCTGCCGTACCTTGGCTTTGGACTTGAAGAAGGACTTGGCGAAGAGCTGGATCGGCAAGTGGGAGCTGATGAGGCGTGGCGAGTGGTTTCTGCGGGCCCTCCGTAGGCCCAGCACAGTCTCGTACCAGGGGGCACGATCCCAGTTGGGCACAGTTTGGCACCAGCTGGGGTCCCCATTGCTCTGGATAAGGCTTAGGATCTCCAGCATCCACACTGTCCCTAGGGTGGCAGCCATCACTATGGCAACTATTGCTATGATCATCCCAACCTCCTCACACATCTATATGCCTTCCCTGACCCCACCCGATTTCAGAACACTAATGGGCATAGAGTTAATGAACCCAGGTGTCCTGGCTTCCAACCCCCCTATTCCAGTCCACCAGTCCCCATTCCTCTCCCAGAGCTGGAGAGAACTCAGGCAACCTGACTGGGGAGGTGGGAGTGGTCTAGGGGCCCTTCTCCCTGAGCAGCAGGATGGGGTGCAGGGATTGTACCTGACTTCTGATAAGTGACGTTGAAGACATCATCGTCCAGCACCTGGAAGTTGTTCTCCACTGTCTGCAGGGCGCATGGAGAGTAGATGAACTCGGGGAAACTGATGCCCTTGTACTGGAAGTACTCCTTGAACATCCTGGCACTGTAGAAGATGCCACACTAAGGACATGGCACCAAGCCACAGCACCTCTGGGAACCTTGATCCAGTACTGACAGACAGACAGGGGCTGTGTGCGCGCGTGTGTGTAAATACAAGACCAGTGTTGCTGCCTGTTGGGGCGGGGTGTGTGTGTGTGTGTGTTTGTGTGTGCTGTCTCTCGCCCAAATCACAACTGATCTGTGTGTCGGGCATGTACATGTGCACTCCATACCTCCCATGAGGACGGGTCAGCCCTACCCAGTTCTCCATCCTCACCTCTGCTTCCTGGAGCCCTTCAGCTTCTCTCACACAACCCCACCCCACATCATCTTGTAGACTTAGACTGGATCACGGGCACATGACTGACTGCAGTATGCAGCGTCCTGCCCCCAGATGCACTTATCCAGACTTGCTGTGCTTGTCTGACTCGTCCTGGCATCCTGGCTCCTTGCCAGGAAGTCCCAGATGCTAGCACCTCAGGAAACTATGATGCTTGCCAGCCCAGGGCAACCAGAGCCCCCCAGATTACCAGCCTGAGCTCCTTGCACTCTGCCACAGCAGTACTACTCAGCCAGGCTGCCCAGGGGCCATGGGGGTAGCTCTTAAATCCTACCTCTCCAGGTTTAAACAAAGGCCCAAAGCTCCAGTTGGACCCTGGCCCAAAAGCAGGCCACAGAGGCTTGTCATGTGGCATTCCCCTGAGGAGAGTGGGCAAAGGGAGCAGAGTGACTTATGGGAGGTTTGTCACAAGAGCTCATCAGGGGTGGATTGGGTACCAGGATGTCTGAGTTCTGCCCCGAGGTGTGCCACTGCCCTTGGGGAACTAATGGCACCATGCCATGCCTGTAATACTGTTTAGCCCTGTACCTTGGAATCTTTTGAGGGCAAAGTTTATTCTCAGTATTCTCCCTGGGTGTGTGAAAACTCTTGGCACAATGGCACTGTGATCCTGGTGACCTTGGCCCTAGGCAGTGCCTGGCATGATGGTGTCCTGATCCTGGGTTCTGGTTGCTGCACAGACCCAGAGCCATCAGGACTGGGACCCTTCTGCACTGCATGCACACATACCCCCTTGAAGAGGTCACTATATATGTAGTTAAAGAAAAGACCCCTCTTCCCATTTTGCAGCTGGGGAAACTGATGCACAGCAGGACTCCAGGATGGGAACAAGGCCCCAGCAAGCACCAGGGGCTGTGGAGGGTCTGAGCCCCATGGGCACCTGCAAGATGGCTTCACAGCCATCTATAACACCCTATGGACACTGTCTGGGCAGCAGAGTCCATGGGAGGTGGGGGTTCCCAATTGATTCTGGCTGGAATCAGGTATTTCTATCAATCAGATGTGGTGAGGCAGAGCAGATGAGATCTTGTCCCCTCATGCCAGAAGGAATCAGACTAGAGACAGGCTTTGCTTACAATCCATGCCTCCTCCTGCAGGGCCCCTAACCCAGAAGTGATTCTATAGGGAAAGTCCTGCCCCTGCCCCCTCTTCTCCCTACTTGTCTCTGACTCACACATATACACAGGCATATTTCAGTCAATCACCTCCCCCCACACACACGCACAGCGACACCCACACCTGATATCAGATACCAGGGAAAGCTCTTGGCTTCACATACACATGCGCACACATGCACACAAATACACATGCACGCACCTCTGCAACAGACAGAAGGTTGTGGCTCCAGCTGTCTTCAGGAGCCTCAGCTGCTCCCTCCCTCTCCTGCAAACTGAGTGCCTGCTCCACCCCACCTGTCTAGGAGGTTTCCCCTGACAACACATACTCTGCTTGCTGGGCTGGCCCAGCTGGGGAAGAGCACATCTTCACTGCATCCCCAGAGTGCATGTACACATGGGGAAGCAGAGGCACCAGGTGAGTTCACCTGCAGCAGGGCAAGAGTTGTGGGCTGTAATTAAAGGCCAGCCCTCTAGTGTGGAGCACTGAGAACATGTGAAGGAAAATGTAGGGGTACACAGACCCCTGGGGCTGTGGTGGAGGAAACCCCACAGAAAGATGGATCTTTCTCTGTCTGGACAGATCCTTTCCCCTTTGAACACAGGTCTGGCAGGGCCTCCTGAACCAGTGGCTCCAGCCCCTTCCCACAGAGACAGGCTCCATGTCACACAGTACCCTTTACAGCTCAATTGAGCACCAATTCACACCAGTCACAGTCCACTTCTCCTGCAGAGAGGCTGGACCAGCCTGGACCCTCACAGGCCTATTTGTTATATAGGAGTGGTGGGCCAAGGCTCACTGGGAAACGACAAGCCACCCTCTGCTGTTAGGAAGCCACCAACTACATAACACATGACTACCTGGGAGCTTCCTTGGGCAGGAACCTGACCCAAATGAATCCTCAGATGCTACATGCTCTGGTGCTGGCACCATCCTGTGGCACTCCCTTCAAGTCGCTCCCTCCATGCCAATGCTACCAACTCATGCAGCCCAGTGTCAGCGAGCAAGTGCTCCATGTTCCCTGGTCACACCATCTCACTCACCCCCACTGCTTCCTAAACCATCCCCTCACCTCCACATTGTGCAATCAGCGCTCCCTCCCAACATTGAGCCCACAAGCCCCTTGGACGGCAGCTTCTACAACTTCCAGCCCTTGCTCCTTATAAAAAAACTGAATTGCTTTTTCTGCTAATCCTCACTGAAGGAAAGCTGCATATTTTAACCCAGTCAGTGACTCATGGCACATGCTGTGGGAGGTCCTCTTTCTTTAACGTCAAGTTAAAATCTTCAAGAGGAGACTAGACAGTCACATTGCTGGTGTCACCGGACCCCCAGTTATCTTTCCTGCTTGGTGCAGGGGGCTGGACCCAATGATCTTCCGATGTCCTTCCGGCCTTACAATCTATGAAGTGTCTCAAACAGTACCCCACATTCCAGAGCCAAGTCTCATCCAGGCTTAGCAGGGTGGCACACCTACTCATGCCTGGAAATGCATCACCTGATGCACCCTAGGGGAGTATTTGCCTTGTTCAGGGCTGCAGTCCTCTGGCAACTCGTAGTCATCCCTAAATCCCTTGCATCACCTTCATTTCTGCTTAGGAAGGCTCTGAAGGGAAGAGCCACAGGTGCCAAGCCCAGTCAAACTAGCAGGCTGGTCTGCAGGGTGCTGTGGCTTTGATCCTGGCCCAACAACAGGGCTTGAGCAGGGGGTTCCTGGTTAGGGGAGAAGCCCAGAAATGCTACACCAGGGGAGGACACACTCCCAGAGATGCCAGATGTGCCATCAGCCATGCGGCAGCCATGTTAAAGCCTATCTGCCTCATTACAGGGGACACAAAAAGAGATTTTTGTGATTTTTTTTAAAACCCTCTACATCACATTTTTAATTACATTTCCTAAATTGCATTTTTTCACATTACATTTTTTAAATTGTTTTGTAGGAAGCCTTAGTGGTGCCCTCAGACCTAGGGATCTGAGGGCCTTTGTCTGCCTTTCAGCTGAAGGAGGAAAGCTGTGGAATTTTTAACAATGAGCACATTTTCCCTAGTGTACACTGGGAGTTTGAGTCAGCTCAAAGCAAACAGTAAACACCATTGACTCCCTTTACCACTTGTCCCAATTGTACATCCTGAGTTGTCTCTTTCTTTTTCCCTCTCCCTCTCTTCTTTCCTTGCATTTTAGTTCTGTGTTTGTATAGCACCCAGCATAACAGGGCACTGATCCAGAACCAGCTATTGCCAGTACATATGTTTTGGTTTCTCCTTGCCTGTGCGACATCCATTCAGCCTCCCCACTTTATGATATGGCCTTGAATTTCAGGATTGCATACTATTCCCTTTCCTCCCTCCTCCAACAGCCCTGCCACATTCAGTTCACAGGAGCAAGCAGTCCAGCTGCTGGACTAGGGCTGTGTGGTGAAGGAGGCTGGTGCCTGCAGGAGCCTGCCTTAACCATGATGGCAAAAGGGGAAGGCTCATGAAGAGGCCTGGGAAAAGAAGGGACCATTTCATGAATCTAGCAGCTGAGAGCAACATAGAGCCCTCTGCCACCAACTGCTTGTGTTGCCAGCCATAGCATCTCACTCAAATCACCCAATGGGCATCTGGCTTGAGGTGCTGGTTTCCAATGTGGGGAGATACTAAAGGCTTCAGAGGCCACCAGCAGCTACACCTCAAAGATGGTGACAATTCGTGTGTGTCCTGTTCCCTCTATGACACACACAGGGTCCTCAGACATTAGAGGACATGCCTAGGGTGACCACCCATCCCTAATTGGGTGGGACAGTCCCAAAATGTAAACATCAAGTCCTGGTCCTGGGCTGGATAACTCCTGGTTTCCCCTCGATACAGTCAACTATTGTCCCAGTGTCATGTGCAGGGATCTAGGTTTTCTGTTTGCCATGAGAAAAATCATGGGAAACTACTGGTTTCCAGCCTGCAAGGGGCTGCTTGGGGCTGGGGGGAGCAGTACACAGGGGGTGCCATGTGCATGTGCGTATGCACACACATGCATGTGGCCAGCAATACAGCCAGGCAGTGGTGGAGAGCAGCTCCCCCAGGGGGGGAGCAGAATGAGGTGGTCATGGTGAGTGAGGGAGTGGGTCAGGGTTGGCAGCTGGGGCTGTGGGTGCTGCCCAGGCAGGGTGGTGAATGGGGCCCAGGCAGAAATGCATAGCCATGGGACCTGGCCAGGGAGTGGGATGGAGCCACAGGCGGCTTGTCTAAGGAACAGCGAGGGGGCATGTGTCGCACTTTACTATTGTGAAAAGGTGGTCACCCTAGCTGTGCCTCAGTTTCACTATCTGCTGGGCAAGGGCAGTTCCACTGCCTCATCTCACAGAGGCACCATGATGATGCTCTGAGACTGGCAGAGCCAATGCCTAAGTAGGAGGTGACCAAGGAACAGGCCAGGATGGGGGTTGGGATATGGCCTTCAGAGCAGCACAGGCAGTCATTTGCCTAATGCTCAGGCTGCATCCCTCCAGCAGTAGGCATGGCTGGTTATTTTCTTGATGCTGTCTTGCTTATTCTCTCAAATAGGGAGACCAGCTCATTTTCCTGAGCACCACAGTCACAACCGGGAGTGCTCCTGCTACACAATCCCCCCTGCCTCTCTAGCAGGCTGTACTCTCTAGGGAGCCCTGTCTCTGCTGGAGCCCATTTCCCTTGCTCTCTGCTAGCAGGTTTTTCATGCTTTCCAACAACCTCTATCACACATGCTGTTCCTGACCTGCCCCCACTTCTGTGCTGTGCAAGCTGCTCCCCCTCCAGACTGCCAGCTCCCTTGGGCAGCATTTTCCACAAGCCAACTCTCACTCCCAAGAAGAAATTTAATTGCTCCCTCTAGCTATCCTGACTGCAGGCCAATCATCATACTTGTTGCCTTCAACCTAGTCTCTTGATTCATGGCACCCATTAACATTTTCTCTCCTAACAACAGGCACGTACAAGTTAATGCACAAGCCACTTAAAGCTAATGGCCTAGGCTGCGTAGCCACAGAAATGTCTTGCTTTGGAAAAAGAAACAAGAGCCTGCCTCTCTGCTGTGAAACTACCTTTTTTGTAACACTAGCTCCTGCAGCGTTGTCAGCTCAAACAAACCAGCACTGTTGTCTAATGCACCATCTCCCACGGGCCTTGGCAAAGTGTATCCCCAGCGCCCACAGAGCACAGATAGGGTGATCTCCAGGGAACTTAGGACACCTGGGCTCTTTTGTTCTCTTACAATCATTTTAATTAGCATTGCTTGTGTCACACTAGCAATTAAAAGTCCTGAACAAGGTCACAGTGCTGTCACTCTGCCCTGCTCCAGCCTAGAGTAACTAAAATTGGGGCTGTTATCCTATGCCAGTGCTTCCCAAACTTTTCCTCAGCATGGCCCCTCACTCTTAACCCACAGCCCCCACAACTCCATCTGCTGATGTTGCAACGCCATTTGGGGCTGGGACCCACAGTTTGGGAACTGCTGTCCTAAGCACTTTCTAAACTGTGCGAGACAGTCCCTGCCCAGGAGAAAGCCTCATTCAGACAAAGACAAGAACTCTCATTTTCAAGATGGGGAAACTGAGGTCCAAGAGCTCAGTGATCTGCCTCAGTCAATGGCTGGAAAGGATCAGCATCTGAACAGAGCCCAGGGGGGCTGCCTAGCCCTGGCCATGCCAGTTCACACTCTGTATACACCCTGCCACTACAGCTCTCTCTCACACCACTCCAGCTTTTATCCCTTTATTTATCCACCTGTGGCCTGTCCATATATCCATCCACCTCCTGCACCCTCCATTCATTCCTTTATCAATCCCTCTGCATCTCCCTCTCCATCCATCCCATACACTTCTTTATTCATCCATGCTTCTATCCACCCCCAAACTCCCTCTCTCCATCCATTCATCCTTCCAATATCTTTCTGTCCATCCCCCACATCCCTCTGTCCATCATCTATCCCCACAAAACTTCTATCCACCCTTTCATCCATCCCTTGCATCCCCTCTACATATCCACCTGTCCCTCTGCCCATCCCTTCACAGCCTTCCATTTGTCCTTCACCCCATCCCCACAACCCCACCCCTCCACCTGTCTGCCAGCCCATCTGTCCCTCCAGCCATCTGTGCATGCCCCCCCTTCCCCTCCCCAAGACCCCTCCACTTCCCCTCAGTGCCTGTCTGGTCCTACCTCCTGGAGGGACAGTAGGAATGGGAGTGTGGAGCGTTGCCAGTGCTGTGCTGTGCCTGGAGGAGGAGAGGTGCCAGCGCCTGCAGCAATGCCAAGGGAGCTCCCTTCTGCAGCCTGGTGCCTGCAGACTGTAGTAAGCAGACCCCAGTGAGCCCCAGTCTGTGGTCCTGCTGCCTGGGGGATACTGCCTTCCTCAGAGCCCAAAGCAGAGACACGCAGCACCGTGTGGCTGGGAGACGCTGGAACGGGGCTTCCCCAGGGTATGAGGTGGGGTGGGGCCCAAGGCTGGGAGCCACCAGGCGTGGGAGCTAGAGCTGGAGTTGGACTTGGCTCAGCCAATTCCAGGAGGAATACAGGGAGAACAGGCAGAGCCCGCTTGTGCAAGAACCACACCCCAGCACCACCTGGGAGCACCTGCTGTGCCTAGCCTGGTTCATTGCCAAGCCTCCCAGGCATAGGGCAGAGTCCAATCCTGGTCACAGATCCTAGGGGGTCAATCTGGAGTTGCTTTAGATTACAGTGGGTGCATCTACATGAGATTCTTTACTGTGCAGTAGGCTAATCTACTGCGCAGTAGTCTAATCTATTGCAAAGAAAAGCATCACTGTCTACGCATGTGCAGCATTTACTGCGCAGTAAATTAGTCTACTGCGTGGTTGGCTACTACAGGTAGTAGATTTACAATGCAGTAGCTACTGTGCAGTAGTGCACATATAGACAGTTGACTGGGAACAAATTGTTCCCAGTCAGCCCAGGCAGCAGGAGGAGAGGGAACTGTTCCCTCCCCTGGGCAGCTGCCTGCTTTCCAGTCTCTGCTTTGAGATAGAATCAGGGGCTGGGACACCATCGCCTGCCCGGGCAGCTGCCTGCTACTCAGTTCTGTCACAACCCAAAGGGTGTGATTTTTGTTTTGTCTGTGCTTTGGCACCACTGAATTATTTTCCCGCCAAATTGTAGCTTTCTTTGCAGGGTGCATTTCTTGTTGCAGCACAGAAATGCTTGGTGCAAAGAGTTCCTGCCATTTGTATGATAATTCGAGCCCCATTATTGGATTGAGTTAAATTATTCACACGTGGCGGCTAGTGATTGACTTGCTAGCCGTATAAAAAGCTTGAGTGGTTTCCGCCCAAGTTGGAGAACTTGGAGACCTCCGAGGAGAACCCCCGCAAGGGAGGACTCCACGAACACCAGGAGGAGGAGACTTCACGCAGTGTGAAGATCTCTAAGCGCTGCAGAGCCTATTGGACCCAGCGCATTTCAAGCAGGCAACAGGGGTCTGATCAGCCTCCAGCCTCTCCCTGTTGCCGTTCGCAATCCTCGACGTATCCCTCTCCCTGCGCGCAAAAGGATCCACGGAGCCTCGACAACTCCGTGGGAGTGAT